AACAACATTGTTTTGGGCATGCAGCAGATGCTGTTGTGCGCACGGGCAACAGCATCCCCAATTCCTACGTCAACAACATTATTTTTGATAATTCTTATGAAGATCATCATAAATTTCCAAACAAAGCGCTCATGTTCGATGTTTGAGGTTGGTTTGTTTTCATTAAGATCAAAAGAGTGGAAACTAGTAAAAGTTGGGGTTGCAGTGGTGGGAGGAGAGAGAGGGAGCTGCAAAGGTTGCCGGAGATAGGGAGGGTCAATGATTGTGTTGTAGAAGAAAGGCATGGACACAAAAGTCATTTTTGACCGTGTTATGTAATTATCTTCAATAAAAATACTTGGAACTATATTTTATACTTAATGGACTTAATAATGAATAACTTCTCGTTTTGTTGTCTTTTATTTCTACTAAAATACTTCCCAGCAAATTTAGAAGCTCACGTTGTTGATACTAAGCCATCTGGTGCCACAATTAGCATGGTAGAGGTGTTTGCATGGAAGAATCATCTGCCGGTCACCTCGTTTATATTCTATCTGGCAAACTACACACCTATATTACAACAAAAGAGAATCAATCAATAAGGAAATTTTGTGTCATGACAAAGATCATGAGATTTATACAAAAGATGAATAAAAAATCTAAATCTAAAACTATGAGTCGTAATAACATACATATGCATGTGCAGTGCGTGCGCACATTACCATGATATGATGTGTAAAGACATCAAAATGATCGTAAAGTTCAACATTCCTGAAATTATTCACACAGTAATAACATGGTACCAAAAATCATTTCCTATAGGAATACACGTTGGAGCATGTGTGAAGGTTGAGTCTCATATCGGATAAAGAATAAAAGGAGTGAGTCTTAATATATTAGATGGGCTCTCCACTTACAGGTTTAAACTTTTAAGTTAGTAGGAGTTTCAAATAATGTATGTTGGGCCCTGGTGTTACGTGTGTGGGTCAGTTTACGTCTTAGATTTTTAATGACATAACCACCATTCTAAAGGCCCTGAACTGAGGAAGAGAGTAAATTATTGTCCACTAAGCTAAAGTAACCGTTGACAAACCTAAGTACTGTCTAAAATGGGCTTCTCTGGAATTAAATCATGTCTCCAATTCTTTATGCCTTGTTTTGGATTTTCTAAAACACTTTCAGAAAATTCAACTTTCTTATTTTCTATATTTTTTTGTTTTTACTGAATTTTTTTAATACTTTAAGAAATTTTTTTAGTTTTTAGACACACCTAACATAAATACGCTTAAAAAGTATAATTTTTGTGAAAAAAATCTTTAAAAAATTCACTAAATACCAAAAATACAAAAAATACATATATATATAAATTCATTATATTTTGTGTATTTATTAATTTTTTAAAATATCTTTTCACAAATATTTTACTTTTTAGATTCATCTAAGTAAGATGCATCTAAAAAACTTTAAAAAAAATGCTTAAAATTTTAAAAATATGCGCTAAAAACAAAAAATAAAATACAAAAAATAAAAAATTCAATTTTCAAAAAACTTAATTTAAAAAACTCAAACCAAACACACGATTGGTTTTTTAAGTAAAAAATAATATAAGTAATAATTATAAATAAAAAAAAAAATGAAAGCACAAGGCATTTCAAAATGCAAATGCATGGTTTCAGCAACGGCAAATTGAGAGAAAAGGAAGTTAATGGGGTTAAAAAGCATAAATTGTACCTCTCATTTCTGGATTTCTTTCTTGAGAAGAAGCCAGACTTGAACTTTCTTACAGGAAGCAACGAGATAAGGTCTTGGGAAAGACCTTGACCTTGAGTTCCAACTGCCTCACCTAACTCAAGTAATTCTTGCGAACAGAAGGACATGAAGTTGGTATCTTCAAAAACATATATCATTTGTTGGTGTTACAACTAAATCACAACTACAACTTTTTTTTTAATTTTAAGTATTGTTGACTTTCAAAAGCATTAGGTGTAAACCTTAAAGGAAATTAGCTACTCCTTTATTGAACGTAAAAAAATTAATATAAGAAACTGAATTGGCACATATTCAATCTGAAGAGTGCCATTAACCCTGTAGTAGAACACTTTCAGAAAGTTTATGCATTTAAATGAAAGCACGACAAAAACTGATGGTTCTGATTTTATCCAATATAATGGATTTAGACATCCACGGTTTAAATTAACAGAAGAAGATAAAATGCAGATTTGGCTCATAAACAGATGAGGGATTTATTAACCAAAAGAATAAATAAAGGTTTAATGTATTGAACACATTAGTCATGTTGTCAGGATCAACATTGTCTTGCCAAACCTGCATCAATCCACAGAGAAGGTGAGATGCATAATTAACTACTTGGCATCCTATCTCAAATTATAATATTTGTGTACAAATAAAGTTATTACAAAGAAGGACAAGAAGTCAACACTTGTATGTAGCACCTTCAAAATGTAAATGCGACCACCAGAGAGTTCAAACATATTAAACTAATAATATTAACAATAAAATAGTACTGCTAGTCAATGAAAATCTCATCAGACTAAACAGACTAGCCCCATGTAGAGACTGGAAAGCTTGCCAATTGATCATACATGTGATTAACATTGGTCCTCAGTCCTACGTGCATAGGATATTGAAGCAAAAACAAATGGTTTTTTACACATGTAAGGCATTCAGGCACAATTTGTTTCACACTAGACTACCAAAGAGAGAGCACTATACCTGATAATCACAAGTATTATGATTACCTTGGAGACCTGAAAAAAATGAAGAAATTACTTAAACAGAGACACGTATGTCATTAAAAATATGCAACTAAATATTGTACAACTAGCAACAAAATATCACAAATAACAGCAGCAAGAGGCGCAAAACAAATAAAACTTCCAAGGGATTGCTACTAGGAAGTGAATGTGATATTTTTCCCACTGTGCCCATTACTTCCCTCCATTGCACAAAAGATGGACTCCTTTTCCTTTTTGGCTGTCTCATAATGTTCTGTTATAAAAAGTCAATGCACAAACTTTTTACAATATTCTTGCCATGAAAAAAGCTTAACAATATGTTGAAGTATGCAAACAAATGTGAATGCTTTTATTAAATCAAAAAATGGGAGGGTAAATTTGGAAGCTGGAATCGAAGAGCAAAAACGTGAAAACAGCATCTTCCAACAACACTAGCTCTTTTTTAAAGAGGTCAGTCACAGTACAACCAATGGAGTATATCTTTTTAATGTGTCAATACCTTTGGACTACTGAATTACAATGCAATATGCCAGTAACTAATCAATGCAATATACCTTCTGCCTGAAACCAACCGGGAAAGGGGTATGAAAAGTTGTCGAGTTATATATGAAATTTTAAATTATTTCTTTTAACTGCCCAAGTGATTTATGCACACTAGCTTCATTACAACAAATTACACTTTTGGCGACTAAATTTTTGGTAGCCAAAAGACATTTTTTTAGTCACCAAAGATTTTTACCGACTAAAATTCTTGGTCGCCCGTTTGGTCGCTGACTGATTGTCAGCAAAAGAATTGGCAGCTAATTTTTTTTTAGTCGCCAAAAGTCGCCAATTAGCGACTAAAAATTTAGTCACCCAAAAGAAAATATTTAGTCACAAAAAAAAAATCATCTTCAGCTTTTTAGCTACCAATTTTTTAGTCGCTAAAAACTTCACTACTTGATGGCTGCCAATTTTTTTGTCGCCAAAAACGTGACACTCCTATTTGGCTACCAATTTTTTAGTCGCTAAAAGCATAGTACTCCCTTACAGCTACTAATTTTTTAGTAGGCCAAAACTTTCATTTTTTTTTTTTTTGGCTACTAACTTGTTTAGTCGCCAATAAGTTCCCTTCTTATTTTTTGGCTACTACATGTTTAGTCGCCAAAAGCTCTATTTATTATTATTTTTTTAAATGCACAAATTGAATATTTTTCATTAATTTCTAAATTATATGCATTCCATTATCAATGCAACCTGTAACCTGTACATATACAGAATAATACATCTATCAATTATAATCGAAATCAATTATCAATAATACTCATTTCATTATCAACTATCCAAAAACTTTAACTTGTAACATCTTATTCCAAGTATCATATAAATCCATTCCAACCAAGTATAATCCATCTAAATTAAATATTACATACAAAAGCACTGCATTTCCAAAATAGAGAATTATACAAAAATATATGTCTTCCATATACAGAATAAATGCTCTTCATACACAAAAATAAATATCCACAATAGCCCATGCAAAAGCAATCTGTATAATAAAAAATAAAAAACAATAATAAAAAAAACCATTAGCACTTCTCGATAAAATTGACATTTCAAATTATAACAATTATAAAATTAATAATTCGGGTATATTATACTCGGCAAATTTCACTACTTGATGGCTACCAATTTTTTAGCCACCAAAAACGTGGCACTCCTATTTGGCTACCAATTTTTTAGTCGCTAAAATCATAGTACTCCCTTTCAGCTACTAATTTTTTAGTAGCCAAAAACTTTCATTTTTTTTTTTTTTTTTGCTACTAACTGTTTAGTCGCCAATAAGTTCCCTTCTTATTTTTTGACTACTACATGTTTAGTCGCCAAAAGCTCTATTTATTAATTTTTTTTAAATGCACAAATTGAATATTTTTCATTAATTTCTAAATTATATGCATTCTATTATCAATGCAACCTGTAACCTGTACATATACAGAATAATACATCTATCAATTATAATCGAAATCTATTATCAATAATACTCATTTCATTATCAACTATCCGAAAACTTTAACTTGTAACATCTTATTCCAAGTATCATATAAATCCATTCCAACCAAGTATAATCCATCTAAATTAAATATTACATACAAAAGCACTGCATTTCCAAAATAGAGAATTATACAAAAATATATGTCTTCCATATACAGAATAAATGCTCTTCATACACAAAAATAAATATCCACAATAGCCCATGCAAAAGCAATCTGTATAATAAAAAATAAAAAACAATAATAAAAAAAACCATTAGCACTTCTCGATAAAATTGACATTTCAAATTATAACAATTATAAAATTAATAATTCGGGTATATTATACTCGGCAAATTATAACAATTATGACAATTTAGTAGCAGACAATTATAACAATTAATAAATTAGGACAACATTGGAGTAATTTAATAATTATTTGAATGTTATCTGTGGGATTCACAATGAAAATCAAGCAACTGGAATATGTACTATATAATTCTCCATTGAATTGAAAGAGCGCATTCTCCATTGAAAGAGCTCATTCTCCACTGAAATGAAAGAGCACATAGATATACATACACACACAAACATGTATTCAAAAGATAGAATATAAGTTGTAAATTAACCTGAGCGAGGTCACCAGTGGCATAGCCACAGAATAGCAAATAACCATTTGGCTGGAGAAAGAAATGTTGAAATCACATTATGAGATCATAATAGTAATATCAATTACAGATTTTCAAAATTTCATAGTGGCATTTACTAATCATTACCTTAAGAACTTTTCTGATATTCGGCAACACCAGTGGCATCTTCTCAGGGAACACAGCAAACAACACAAATATCTGCTTAAAAAGTCAGCTAGGTAACAACAAACATTATAGGAAAAGCAAGTAAACTCAAGATCTGAAGCAAATACTATATGAAGCACTCCTACAAGAGGATATTCGACAACGCGAAATGATATGTTCTCTCTGTTAATTTTTTAAAATGATTTACTGAGTCCAAAATTGAGGCAATATGTTGACATAAAATATTTTTGAACCTAATATCTTTATACTAGAAGATTAGTAATTGGAATACAATTGCTGATAAAAACTCATCCAAAAGGGCATCCCAAAAAAAAAAAAAGAAAAAAGACAAAGAAAACCTCGTAAAAAATTGAAGCTATACAAGATATTTTTGTGCTTTTGTTATCTCCAAGCAAATTCCCAGAAATTTGTACTTGATTGCTTTTGCATTTCTATTTTCGCCATCTTATAAAGATCAATTCTTCACCAAAACTTCAAATGTCTTAACTACTACAAGAATATAGCTTTTCAAGACTAGTCTAGCAAACCATATCCTTCAGTGATCTTATTGACATATCTTTCTATTTAGAATCCGCAAGCTAGTAAGTGGTTGAAGCAGAGGACTTCTACTATTCTAAAAACTAAAATGACTAAAACTCCTATCAAGTTCAGACAACATTAGAGCAGTAGACCTCCAACATGCAATGCCAAGCTAATACACATTCATCTCTCAACTGCAAACTTAGATTTGCATAGTTCTTCCCAAAGATTATATGTTTCTTTACTTGGAGGTGTCTTCAACAATGATAGATAAGTTCCTACCTTCCAATAGAACATTTTAATTATATGTTCAGAACTTCTGATTAGCATTCAAGTGAGGCTCTTAAAAGTCAAAATCCATTTTTAGAAGGGTGAAGAGAAGCTTGCATACCAGACTCAATAATGCAATGCATGCCAAAGTGCAGCAATGCCCATATCTATGCACAATCCTTGCAGCTCGAGAAATCATCATAGCTACAAAATATGGGGCTCATCACAATCAACCAACATGATTGAGTACAAAATCATTAAAAGCGTACAAAAAAAGAGAGAACATGGGAAAGGCCAAAATACATTGATGACTACAACTTTATTTTGCACAGATGATAAATGGTAATGAATCAATAACCAGTGACAACTTTTCTTTCATCACTTCAAGAACACCCAAACAATGTAGTATTGAAGATCACAAAGTAAAAAATAAAAGCATACAAAAAAAAAAAACTAATTCCATGTAAACAAGAGAATAGAAATACTTTGCCCTGAAAATCTTTAAAAAGGTACACTTAATTATAAAAATGCATAGCCCAGATTATGGACCTTAAACTGGATTTGGATACATCCTTCCAATATTCTACAGGTAAATAACACATGAAATGCTGCTCATGTGCAGCAATCATTACCAAAATTTCATTGCACAATATGCCCATTTCACTTGGCTGCTATGAGGTTGAGTCTTTGAATACCATGTCTTGCGTTATAAAAATTAGGAACAGCGTCGTAAAGGTGAACTTCAGGAAAGTATTGTAGAACATTAACTTGAGCGTACAAACAAAACCTTTTGATAACATATGCAGGTTCATTGTAAGGTGTGATGACCCCGTCACGTATAATATTTTATATTTGGTTAATTAAGGAGATTTGGGATTTTAATTAGTCGTTATCCCAATTTAATTTGGGACTTGTGAGAATTGTCGAATCTGATTCGTATATGATTCTATTAAAGATTTATTTTAAGGGTCCAAATGGCTTAAGGAAGCGGAATTAAGAAGTTGAATCAATTTAATTTTAATTACGGACCCATTTGAGAGTTAATTAAATATTTGATTCAGTTTAGTAAAATTGAGATTCGATTAATTAGGTCCAAATTAGAGTTAATTAAGTTAGTTAAATTGAGGATTGAGAATTGTGATTATTACGGGTTAAATTTATTTATGGGATGTCCAATTTAAATATGTAATTTATTGACGGAAATTTGGAGTCTAATTAGAAATTAAAGGCCTAAATGATTTGGGGAATCAAAATTGATGACGACAATAAGTTTAATTTAATATTTGGAGCCTTTTGGAAGTTTGATTAAAAATTTGATTCAGATTGATAAATTAAATATAATTAATTGAGCTCTTAAAGAAGTCAAATTAGACTAATTAAATTATGTGGGATTTGTGATTAGTTACGATTAATTAATTATGTGCTAGCTAAGATTTATTAAGATCAAGTGCTACTTAATTAAATTAATCCTAAGCACAAATTGCATTATGGAACAAATTAGAATTGTGGGTGTGGGTGCACTGAGAAACTTAGGTGGGTGTACTGAGAAATCTGTGTATGTATGTGCCTAGTGAAGTGTTGTGCTGGAGCCTCAATATGTGAGGTGTGTGCACGTGTTGAAGGGAGAGGTGTGCATGTGTGTTATGTGTAAATGAGAGAGTGAGGTTGAACTCATTTTCTTTCTATTGGAGAAGCTCAAAAAAGGAGAAGAACCGAGAGGGAGAAAGAGAGAACAAGGAGGGAAGAAGAATCATCTAGGTTTGTGCTGGAAAATTGAAGAAAGAACTCAAGAGATTCAACAAATTAAAGTTCTAGGTAAGGAATCTAAGCTTAATTCTTGCAGGAAATTCATGTAAAAATTTGATTTAAGAAATAATTGGGCTCAATTTCATGTAATTAAAAGGAAATTAGTAAGAAGATGTTGAGATTAAATTAGATCCATGATTATGGAAATTGATTTAGAAAGTAATTATTTTGAGATTGATTTTTATAATCTTGCATGAAATCAAGCTCCATTGCTACATGCATGAGGGAATTCTATGAGTATTTAAGTACATTTAAAGGCATCATGCATAATAGATTTCTTGAATTGAGTCCCATAGATTACATGCATCAAGATTTATTTGAAGATTTGGTCCATGCAATGGAGTTAGGTTTAAATTTATGGAAATTAACCTATAAATTAATTATTTTGGGTTTGATTTTGCACATCTTATATGAATTTGAGTCTTATTTTTACATGCATGTAATTTAGAGAAATTAAAGAATTAATTCATGAACATGGTTAAGGTTAATCAATATGGAAATAATTATAATACTTCAATTGAGCTTGGGCTTGGATTGATATATATGAGATATAAATTTACATGCATCATGGATTTAAAATAATTGATTTCATGTTTTGATGTAATGAGAATTAAGCTTTGGAAAATTATGGGTTTATGAACAAAGAACTTAATTTATAAATTAAAGGAGTTTTGATGTAACTGATTTAAAATTGATCATGTTTGATGAAGATGAGCATCAATTGTGTTATTTAAATTGAAAATGAAGCCTATCGCACATGCATGTGAAATTCAAAGTGATACGGAAATTAATTTGCATGTGAAATTCAAAGTGATATGGAAATTAATTTGCACGAGTTTTAAAGATATGAAGATAGTATGGGTTGTCAAGAAAAATGTGAAATAATTTGGGAATTGAATTATGATTTTGGACAAATTAGACTAAATTTTCTTATGGCCTCATATTGTATAAAGATTTCCATAATTTTGTATCAAGAACATGAGTTTTAGACCCTTTGAATGCTAAGTTTGAGCTTCAAATGCAATTCTGGAAATTCCAGAATTCGGCATGTCCGCTTGAGCGGGGAAAGCGCCGCTCGAGCGTGAAATGTTGGCTTCCAAAACTTTTGCAGACATTGATGTCCGCTCGAGCGGAAAGAGTCACGCTCGAGCGTGGAAATGTAGTAACCAGTTCTTTTGCAGACTAAAGGGGTCCGCTCGAGTGGCTAAATCCGCGCTCGAGCGGAGAACCCTGTTCCTGAAATTATGAAAAATAGTTTTGTGTTTTGTTTTCTGTTTTCTTTCATTTCTAAGCACTCTTAGGAATACATTGAGCATTGTAAATGACCTAAAGCGTAAAGAAAGAAGCCTAAGAGAAATAAATAGATTAAAGAACGGATTGAATTGTTTGTGACCCAATGTGTTATGAATTGTGTAGGGTCAAGCATAAGGACGAATCCACCGGCAAAACACTGTGAGTAATATATTAGTAAAGATATGTTCAAGTATGTTGTTTTCCCAAACGTTACTTCTGTACATGCCTTATGGATTTGTATGTTTGAATTAAGAATGAGTATTCTAAATGTCAGTCTTTTGCTTAAGACTAAGTGAATATGAATACGATCATGATCATGAGTATGAAACACACATAAATCCGTCTGACATGAATAATTGAGCCAAAGACCGTCTGACATGAATGATAGTCTGACATGAATAATTGGGCCAAGGGCCGTCTGACGTGAATGATTGGGCCAAAGGCCATCTAACATGAATGATAGTCTGACATGAATAATTGGTCCAAGGGCCGTTAAACATGAAAGATTGGGCCGAGGGCCGTCTGACATGAATGATTGGGCCAAAGGTTGTCCGGCATGAATGATAGTCTAACATGAATGATTGGGCCAAAGGCCGTCTGACATGAATGATAGTCTGACATGAATAATTAGGCCAAGGGCCGTCTCACATGAATAATTGGGCCAAAGGCCGTCTGACATGAATGATAGTCTGACATGAATAATTAGGCCAAGAGCCGTCTGACATGAATGATTAGGCCAAAGGCCATCTAACATGAATGATAGTCTAACATGAATAATTGGTCCAAGGGCCGTCAGACATGAATGATTGGGCCGAGAGCCGTCTGACATGAATGATTGGGCCAAAGGCCGTCTGACATGAATGATTGGGCCAAAGGCCGTCTGACATGAATGATTGGGCCAAAGGCCGTCTAACATGAATGATAATCTGACATGAATAATTGGACCAAGGGCCGTCTGACATGAATGATTGGGCCAAAAACCGTCTGACATGAATGATAGTCTGACATGAATAATTGGGCCAAGGGTTGTCTGACATGAATTTGAATTAAGAATGAGTATTCTAAATGTCAGTCTTTTGCTTAAGACTAAGTGAATACAAATACGATCATGATCATGAGTATGAAACACACATAAATCCGTCTGACATGAATAATTGGGCCAAAGGCCGTTTTGACATGAATGATAGTCTGACATGAATAATTGGGGGCCAAAGGCCATCTAACA